GTGAAGAGGTAAATGTGTAAAGCAACAATGTTTATTAACGGTGAAAGTTTTGTAACCATTTGTTACAAATCAGTAAATGCATTTTGTCCTCACAGACTTCCGTAGAAGGAAACATGGCATCCAATATGGCGTCACCAGAGATTTAGGGTGTTTCTCAATCAGTGTTGGGAGCAACGCCGTTTAAGTATAACAGCGTTACTAACGGCGTTCTTTTTTAGGTAACAGAATAATCTAATTAATTACTTTTCCCACAGTTGCAACACCGTCACTGGGGGCGGAAGGTTGTGCGTTCGAATGCTGAGCAACAGTGTGAGGCTTTCTGACCGCCACACTTCAGCTGCAGCCAGGGAGAGAGACGTGTCGGTAACACACTTACAAACACGATGATGATTGGCCGGGTGGGCGGAGACCTTCAGTGTTCTCACTGTCTCAGCATGCTGTAGACACAACAGAGCAGTGATGGGAATAACGACGTTTAAAATAACTAAAAAAATAATTTTTCAGTAACGAGCAAACTAATTAATTACCGTCTTCTTTTATCAAAATGTCGTTTCTGTTACTGATAAGGAAATGCGTGCGTTAAGCAGCGCGGCGTGTTGAAGCTGTCATCAGCTGATCAGGAGCTAAAGAGGTAGATGTTTTCATCCAAGTGCGTCACGGCCCGTGAAGAACGAGGAAGACGTGATGAATAGTCTACGGCTGCAGGTGTTGATCTGCAGCCGTGCCCTTCTTAGCGTGACAGCGGGACATCCTGAAGGTCCGCTCACCCGTTCACTGCTCAGACGTCCTGATCTTCTACCTTCCTAGATCATCCAGCTGTAACCTGTTTCTGATCATGTCTTTAGTCCCGCTGTAACACTGATGCATCAGTCTCAGACGTCATGGAGCTCAGGTGTTATTAGAACTACCTGTGTGTGTTTACCACCCAGCTTCAGCTCTTCTGTGGTTGGGTCTGACCCAAGTTAGTAAATGTAATCCCTCCATCAGGTTTGTGCCTCTTCTAGTGTCATTTTAAAGGATTTTATTTATTTATTTAACCTTTACTAGATTACCAGCAACAGAAATGCTACTAATAATTATGTGAAGCTGGAAAAATTAGAATACTGTGCAAAATTACATTCATTTCTGTAATTTAGCTAGACTGAGAGACCATTTAAAGACTCGGGAACCTTTACAGGTGTTTCTATTTGCAATTTTAAATTTTAGCTGATTGGGGTCTTGTTAAATATCACACAGTGACCTTTTAATAGTCTAGATCAGTGTAATGTTCCTGTTAGTAGTTCCTCCTGTTAAGTGCTTATTTATTTAAATTATTCAGGTTTATAAAAACATTTGGACATACATTTTATTATGTTCCAGTCATTAGTCATTTATATTTCACTATTGTAGTAATTCTTGCATTCTTTAAAAAGTAACTAATTAGTTATTTTTCTTGGTAATTAGTTACTTTTATAATCTTGTAACTCAGTTAGTAACTGAGTAACTTTTTGACAGAGTAATCAGTAACTATAACTAATTACTTTTTTAAAGTAACGTTCCCAACACTGTTCTCAATGCCAAGGAACCTTTTCTTGATGTCTTGGCCCCACCCCGGTTGCCTTGGAGATACGTCCTTGGGAGCCGCCAAGACGTGTTTCAATGTTCATGTTCTACCGAGCCATGTGTTCTCCGCTTGTTAGCCGTTTAGCTAGCTGAGCGAGGATACACGGGAGGTGTCTTGTAGCCTTGGTCAAAAATTACCCACAATACATTGCAGTATTTTCAAAAGCACAGCGGATCAGAATCCAGCAGCTACTGCGGGGACAGTTTTCAAGTTGAAAAGTAAGTCAACTAGAAAATGGATGAATGTATAATGTTTGACAGGTGTTAAAGATAAGGGTGTATTTTTCCTGTTCAAAACTACATGGAAAGACAAAAAACATCAAACTTCAGACAAAAGGTCCAATGGAGGTAAACGCTTAAAAGTTCTCCTGAAAAATGGTGAGAGTGTGGAAGAAGCATCTTTGTCTAGTCCCATTTGCTTCTGGAACTAAACATGTCCCAAAACTGACAAAACAATGTTTGAGACATCCTCCGACTTGCAGGTCTGTTAATATAAGACCTGCTGTTTTGGTTGTGAGTCATATTTATCAGATTTGAGATGTTCAGAAAATTAGTTTAGCATCTCATGACCTTTGAGCTTTTAAAATTCACTTTAGTCAGAATTTTATAATGACATTTTTCTCTTGGTGGCAACTCGTGATGAAGAAGATCATCTGATTTCTGCCCATGAATGAGACGTTTGTAATAACTTGACCCGAGGGGTGGGGATGAAATCTTTCTCTGCCACTGCTAGTCCATGTTTAATCAGTCAAGATTGGGCTCTTCCAAGAACGTTAGACCATTGCCGCCATCTCTGCTGTAGATACGAAACATTCATGTTGACCACACAGTTCATAAAAAACAAATTACTCTTGGTTTTACTTTAACAACAACCATTTGTTATTAATTTATACGAGTA